GGTTCCCAGTACGTTTCCGAGCACAATTCAACATGTTGGTGCTGACCTTTAAAGCCGTAAACAGCCTTGGCCCAGTATACCTGAAGAAGCGTCTCCACCTCCATCGTTCTTCCCGGACACTGAGATCCAGCGTCAAGGGCCTTCTGGTGGTTCCCTCGCTGTGAGAAGCCAAGTTACAGGGAACCAGGCAGAGGGCCTTCCCAGTAGTGGCGCCCACCCTGTGGAACGCCCTCCCATCAGATGTCAAAGAGATAAACAGCTACCTGACATTTAGAAGACTTCTGAAGGCAGCCCTGTTCCGGGAAGTTTTTACTATGTGACATTTTAATGTATTTTTAATCTTTGTTGGAAGCCGCCCAGAGTGGCTGGAGAAACCCAGCCAGATGGGTGGGGTACAAATAATAAATTATTATTATTATTATTATTATTATTATTATTATTATTCAACAGGATATTAAAAACACAATAAAACATCAAACATCAAAAACTTCCCTAAACAGTAAGTAGCATATAGATAAAGGTAAAGGGACCCCTGCCCGTACGGGTCCAGTCGTGACCCACTCTAGGGTTGTGCGCACTCATCTCACTTAAGAGGCCGAGGGCCAGCGCTGTCCGGAGACACTTCCGGGTCACGTGGCCAGCGTGACTAAGCTGCTCTGGCGAGCAAGCACCAGCGCAGAACATTGAAATGCCGTTTACCTTCCCGCTATGAAGCGGTACCTATTTATCTACTTGCACTTAGGCGTGCTTTCGAACTGCTAGGTGGGCAGGAGCTGGGACCGAGCAGACGGGAGCTCACCCTGCCGCGGGATTCGAACCGCCGACCATGCTGATCGGCAAGCCCTAGGCACTGAGGTTTAACCCACAGCGCCACCCGCGTCCCCAGGTAGCATATAACTGTTGTTAAATAAATAGAATGGGCAGGGCTAGCATGCTGAAGCATATTCCTTGTACAGGACGTCTTTCCTGCTGTTGTCATGCATGTGTGAAAGAGAGAGATGCAGTTTCAAATGCACTTGCGTCAGGTTTCAAGCTGATTGATGGCCATGCAGCAAAGTTTATTTAAAATGGCCTTTCTGCTTTCCTGAATTCTTCCCCTCATTTGTGTTTTGTCTGAAGCATATTTTTAGACCTCCAACCCTGTTTGGTTTTTTTTTTATTAAATGACTCACATTTTGGAAATAACTCTTTGACATTTTAACTTCTCCTAATACCGGTGCAAACATGTCACCGACTCATTAAAAAATATATATATATACGGCTGTAGCCTCTAAAAATGTGCTTCAGATAAAGTATATCCGTGCAGAAAGGGAGGCGGGGAAATCAGGCAAGCTAAATGCCATTTTAAAAGCACCTTGCATTTAGTGTGGCATTTGACGGGGATCAAAGTTGTAAAACGGCAAAGAACCCAATAGCCAATAAACACAATGGAAAACAGCGGTGACCAAGAAGCCAAAATAAGCGTCCATCAAATTACAAGGCACAAATATCTCCTACTAGCAGGGAAGAAGAACATAAGAAGAGCCCAGCTGGATCAGAACAAGATGGATTCCGTTCTGGCCAACCGGGTGGCTATGGGAAGCTTGCAAACGAGACTTGAGTTCAATAATATTCTGACCACCAGACACTGCAAGCAACTGGCACTGACAGGCATGTTGCCCCCAACATTGGAATAAGCACTGATAGCCTTATCTTACATAAAGATGTCACAAACTACCACCAAACGCCAGCCTAAAAAGCCACGTTTTTGCCAGGTGTCAGAAAAGGCCTAATGGTGGTCCAAGGCATTCCAGATGGTTTGCATCACAAATGAAAAGGCCGTCTCTCACTCGGCCACCTACGAGACCTGCTGGCATATGGAGCAGGACCTCTGACTAGGAATGGACTTCATGATTAGGATGGGGAGGCAAATAGCAGAAAGTGGTCCTTAAGGTACCCAGGCCCCAAACCATTTATAGCCTTCGAGATAAGAACCAACACCTTAAGTTGACTCTAGAAGAGAATAGATAACCAATGCAGAGCAAACGGAACCAGAATTGTACTCTGTCAAATGTATCCCAGGTAGTCTGGTGGCATCATTTTGAACCATCTGTTGCATTTCCAAGTGCAGCACCACATAGTGTGCATTACAGTAGTCCAGTCTAGAGTGTTCTAGAGCATCAGGGACCACAGTCAGATCTGTCTTCTCCTAGAAAAGGTGCACCAGCCAAAACATGTACAAACTCCTGGCCATTGCCACTGCCTGTACATGGTCCTTGGTGCGCTAGAATATTCTAGATTGGACTAGGTAAAAGGTAAAGGACTCCTGCAGCTCCAATACTTTGGCCACCTCATGAGAAGAGAAGACTCCCTGGAAAAGACCCTGATGTTGGGAAAGATGGAGGGCACAAGGAGAAGGGGACGACAGAGGATGAGATGGTTGGACAGTGTTCTCGAAGCTACCAGGATGAGTTTGACCAAATTGTGGGAGGCAGTGGAAGACAGGAGTGCCTGGCGTGCTCTGGTCCATGGGGTCACGAAGAGTCAGACACGACTAAACAACATAAAAGAACTCCTGTATGGTTAAGTCCAGTCATAGGCGACTATGGGGTTGTGGTGCTCATCTCGCTTTCAGGCCAAGGGAGACAGTGTTTGTCCAGATTCCAGCAAAACAGTCAGATTATCCGGGATCACTGTCCTTTGTTATTCACCTACTAGTTCGGCACCATGAACACCTAAAAAAAGTTTTACCGCTTAGCCCACAGGATAGCATCTATTACTTTGTTTCAACCATAGACTTATTATACTTCTGCGGACTTGCAAAGATTGACAGACGTGTGTTCAATTGATTTCAAATATATTAGAGAATTTACAAGTGCACACATTTTGTTTTTGTTACTAAATCATGTATATTATGCAGTAAGAATTACAGTGCTATCTAGTATACTGGTCTGCGTGTTGCTTGTATTGTTTGTAGTGTTTGTCCACAGACAGCTTTCCAGGTCATGTGGTCAGCAGGACTAAACTGCTTCTGGTGCAACAGAACACTGTGAAGGAAACCAGAGCACACAGAAACACCGTTTACCTTTCCGCCGCAGCGGTACCTATTTATCTACTTGCACTGGCATGCTTTCAAATTGCTAGGTTGGCAGGAGCTGGGACAAAGCAACAGGAGCTTCACCCCATCACGGAGATTCGAACCACTGACTTTCTGATCGGCAAGTCCAAGAGGCTCAGTGGTTTAGACCACATCGCCACCTTCATCCCTTTCGAGACTGGACTAATGTAATGCACACTGGTCAAGGAAGCACCCCCCTGTCCTGTCCTAGCTGTTTCTCAAGAAAGAGTGTAACCCTAATCAAAACCAGGCTAGATCTCTATTCCTGGACTGACTAAACCTCAACACTTCTTCCCTCTTCTATGAATAAGTTACATTGTCATATGGTCCAACATCTGGAACAGATGTGAGAACCATCATTTTTTGCACTAGGCTAGAACTTCTGGAAGCAGTGTAATGACATTTACAGTAGACCTGCATAACTTGCAAATAGCACCAATTCTCAAGAACAGTTGTAATTCACAATGGTAGTAAGCTAGTAACAGCCTCACTCTTAAACTGGAAGGAAAAGGGGTTTAGAAGATACCATGAGTTATGCCATCTATCACCAACTGCTTAGATCCAAATTCAGGAAAAAGTGTAATATCTTCATTTAAGGGAGGGGGGAGAGTCAAGTAAATCAATGGCAGCAATTCTGAAAAGTAGACAATATCATTATTTTGTGTTGCAGAACTACAGCTGATGATAAATTTCTTTGAGAAAGGGTGAAAAACAACAACACACACTCCAGGTTTCTCAGGCGTCAGTTCTTCAATACAAATTGATATCTTCTGCAGGACAAAAATGCAGGGAGATTCTTAAGCTATCATAGCAAGTGATCGATACCAGGACTCTCTTTGATAAATTAGCCATAGCACTGAAAATCCATGTCTAAGATGTAAGCCGTCATTATTCACTACAATTTTTTCCCCTGCTGGTACATATAGCCAATGCAGACAAATTACAGAGGATCTTATAATTATGTGAGCCTTTAAAAAGAAAGGAAGAAAAAAAGCAGCATTTGCAGTAGTGAAGGATGGTTTAATAAAGAATAAAAAGGAGTATTCTGAAATATGATTTTACTTATTTCATCCCACTATTGACCCCACTGAAATTTAGTATTACCTTATCACTTCGACTGTTTAAGCAGCCTTTCCCATTTTGCTGCTTTTCGGTTAAATGTGTTTTGTTTGCCTTTTCAATGCTCCACAATTGTACATTGTTCAGGTTGAACTGTTCAGGTTAATCTTCCCCTTCTGAGCTGGTCTACCAGTTTAGGTAGGAGACTTTGTTAGGACACTCGTAGAGAAAGTATGGCTAACCTGTGCCCTTCCATCTATGAGACATTTATTTGTCTTAGAAGCCTTAAAGGACATACCCATCAGGAATAGAAGAAGAGTTTGGATTTGATATCCCACTTTGTCACTACCCTAAGGAGTCTCAAAGCGGCTAATATTCTCCTTTCCCTTCCTCCCCCACAACAAACACTCTGTGAGGTGAGTAAGGCTGAGAGACTTCAGAGAAGTGTGACTAGCCCAAGGTCACCCAGCAGCTGCAGGTGGAGGAGCGGGGAAGCGAACCTGGTTCCCCAGATTACGAGACTACTGCTCTTAACCACCACACCACACCACACCACACTGGCTATTAATATAATATGTTAATAGGGTTAATATCTTTATTGCCCTGCACCTTTCTTAAACAAGGGTAGAACAGTAACAGGAAACTCTAGACTCCAATCCAAATAGAATTATGTCCAGCGTCACCTAGGGACCAAACTATATAATCACATGATCTATGCACGTTTCATCCCCAAGCCCAAGCCAAATGAGAAGGAAATTGCACAGGCCTCAGCCAGCATAACCAGTGGTTGGGGATAATGGGAATTATAGCCCCAAAACTTGTGGAGGGCACCATATTAGCTCAGTCAGGTCTCTCCTGGCATTTGCACCTTATGAGCTGGCTGGAGTGATGTTGCGAACTCAAAGAAGAAGGATGAATTTAAAAAAGATGGCCGCACCGTTGGAAAATGAGTCCTTGCATTTTGACAGGCAGTTGCGTTGTGATTTATTTGAGGAGGAGAGCACTGAAGCAATGTACCTTGAAGTATCATATCAGAGTCGTCGTCAATTTGCCTTGTCTGCCTTAGCTGCTTAATCAAGCGCAAGTCTATGAAACCACCGGGGCAGTTCAGAAACATCAGTGGGCTGTGCGAGGATGAAAAGAGCACGTCAGCACTAAAGCAATTGGACAGCGACACACTCTGGCACACTCTCCAACGTGACCCCGCCTTAGCAGATGCATTGGTGAAAGCTGTCATGTTGTCCTGGTGACAAGCGCTGACGTTAGGTAATTTTTCACTTTGGGAGGTAGTTTGTGGTGACAGGCAAAGACTTTTCGCCGCGGCGTTTCTGCGGTGCGTCGTTACGCTTTGCATGCCTTGCCACGCATTTGCCGCGTCCTCGCTGACAGGTGCACATCTTAATAAGTTCTATCAGGGGCAGGAATTAGCAGACAAGACTAGTGCCTGGAGCTGTAGAAGCATCTGCTGCAAAGGAAGCGGGTGCAGGAGGCCATGGGAGAAAGGTCTCGCGTTCTGTAGTCTGTCAAGTGCAATTAGAGTTGCCAGTTGTCACTGCTGCCAGCCGTTAGTTAAATAGATTTCTCAGATGTTGCCTGCCAAAAGTCAACGCCGGTCTGCAAATCTGTAAGCAAGCTAATCGCAAAATATGCCGATAGTTAGTCTCATCGTTAATTGGTAGATATGGAAGATGAAAATCAGGCTAGCTTCTCACTGTCTCACTGGAAGAGTGTGTGTTTTGGAGTTGGGAGTGTCACCAACGATGGATCTATGGAGAGAAGGTCAACCTTCAAAGGTGTTGAAGAAAAGGGTAGGTTTTATTTCTGCCCAGAAGAAAAAGGAATTCATTAGGCATGAGTTGTAAACACCCAAAACCCTTTGGGTGTCATAACTGTATCTAGAGTGCTTTTATGAACAAAGGTTCCCATTTTCTTCAGCAACTTCTGAGTTCTACTTTGTTCGTGTCTGTTGGGGCTCCCTCTCTTCTTTCCCCCTATGCTCAATGGTGGCTGCTGCCCATTGAAACTGGTAGGGCTGGAGACAGTGGGAAGAATGAGAGCTGATTTTACAGGGTTTGGGGGCAGCAGAATTTGGGATGCAAAGGCATTCTCTTCACACCTCTCGCTGATTTTCCTGTCCCTTCACTTGTAGCCACAATTGTCTTGCTTGTTTGTTAGTTTGTTGTATTTCTAACTCGCCCTTCGCCAGCTGGCCCCAGGGTGGGAATACAAACAATAAAACAAACTAAAGAGCCATTACTTAATATCCTTATAAAACCCAAAACCAAGCAGCAGCAGTCGATGCGCATATTTTGAGTGGCTCCTTATGGTTTGGCTCTGCTCTGATACAAGCATCTATATGTCCTTCAAGAAGCGACAGTTTTGTAGCATCGACAGACCCTGCCTCTTGTGCTTCTCAAGAAGATAAGATTTCAAACACATAAACAGCCCAAAGGAGGCACTCAGCTGGTACTTTCAGACACTTCCTCAACCAAGGAAACATTTTATGCTTGGCATCCTTGTTGTGACAACTTGATATAACATCAATGAAGATACTGATTTCTTGTAGGCAAAGAAAGGCAAATCCGATCCCTTGAAGACATGTCTCTTTCAGTGGCGTAGCGTGAGGGGTGCAGGGGGGGCCGGGCGCAACTTCTGGGGGTTAGGGTTAGGGGGCGCAAATCCACGGGTTAGGGGGCGCAAATCCACGGGCTAGGGGGCGCAAATTACTTGCCTTGCCCCTGGTGCTGACAACCCACGCTACGCCACTGATCTCTTTAGTATTATTTCCCTCTCACATCTAAATTACCCGATGGTAGCTGAGTCTGAGTTGGAAAAAATTATCAGAATCAAGGCCAGACACTTCCTTCATGTGGGAACATTGTGAGGGATGAAGAATTGGAGATAAATTCCATTCAGTTTGCACTGGAAGTTGAATTTGCCCTTCCCAAAATGATAGGCAAACTGAAATGTATGTAGTTGTCCTTCGAAAGTCATGCTCCTCAGAACCTTGCCAATTCGCCATCCAAATATTGTGTATAAAAATCCATGTACAGTACTAAGGTAAAGGCTGAGTGGGTAGAGGAATATATATATATATCAAGGAAGACACAAAAATGTGTTATGTTGGGGAAAATATGGCTTTCAAAAATGTATGTGTTAGTCAAAACAGCATACACAAATGTATGTACTGGGTGAAATCTGCACAAAAGTGCTGATGAATTTTCATGAGGACTTTTCGTAGAAGGAATTTGCAAATTGATGTGGACATGTGGAGAACAGAATTTATGATTGGAAAAATGAGACACTGAGAGAAACCGAAATTGACAAATTCACCCATCCCTACTTAATGGTACAGCGAGTCTCATCAATGTCTCAGGCTCTTCTGGGAAGGCTCACTGAAGCAAAGAGAAGAACTATTTGCTGATCATTTCTGGTTCTCTTGCCCCAAACCAAAGTGATACCAGCATGTGGGAATACTCACATCAAGCTCTGATGTGGTCAAGAAATGCAGTGTCTCAATAGATTGCCCTGAATTTTTCCAGGTAATCTGGGGTCTGCATCCAGAATTTAATATTCTGCGTAAGGAAGGACCAGCTTAGAATTCTTGCAGCATTTTCATAGGGGTTTGGGGTTTCAAACATTACCCCTCACTCCTACTACTGAGTACTGTGTTCACACAAAAGCATGTCTGCTCTGCTTACACTGCAGAGATAAACCCTGTTTCCGCATCTTTGTGGGGAATGTAAACGGACTCTACAGGCTATATTCTCTCGCACTGCTGCGTGGAGGTTGGTTCTGCAGATCACAAGTGTGCCTAAGGTGGCCACAATGAAAACAGGTTTCCCTGACAGGTTTCTTCTGTTCATTCATAACTGCAAGATAAACTCCCTCTATCATCTCTTTAACCCACTCAGCTTCAGTAAGAAGAATAGCTGGTTCATCGTTGGGTCTCCTGTCAGCAAACCCTTCAGCATATAATCCGATGCCTTGGCTGACAATTTGTCGAGAAACCTAAAAGGAAAAAAAGAACTGTAGATCAGTGTGTGGAGGCTAAATTAATCTTCCTGCTGCAAGAGAAGAATTACAATGGGCTGCCGAAAGTTATGCAGCTACAGGGAGACTCTCCTGTAGGAAAGAGTTCCATGAATACAAGGACAAGAAAGGAATTGCCTCTTCCAGTCATCTCTGGTACATATACTGTACATCTGCAGCCCTGAGCATGGAACATGTGTCCCCAGTTTGATTTAAAGAAGGGTTCGGGCACCGCAGACCCAGAGCAGTGTGTTTGCCCCAGCGTTGATGCATTTGAGCAGGACTTACCTGGCTGTGGGAATCTTCCGAGTCTGTCTCCATACTTAAAACCCTGTGAAGAGGCAGCCTCAAGGCTTCTGACTCAATCTAGTGGTCAAGAGGAGGCTGAATTGTGTTGGTAAGACAAAGGGAAAAGCAATAGGTTACAGAGCGCGAGGGAGGGAGCGCTAAACAGGCCAACCCAAAGACAATTTTTTCCACCCACAGCAGAGACCTTCCAAGAAGCACAGTTGTCCAGAAGCACAATTGACTCATTTTTTTGTCCTGTGTTGAATGGGCTTTCTCACTAGCAAAATAAGTTTAGGAGTGCTGTATTTAGCACTTAAGCCTGTAAGGTTTCCCATACCCTGATAGTGTGAGTGGACTTTGTCTATTTCTCAGGCATAGCGAGAAAAAGTTAGAATGGCCTTCCAGGCACTGTTGTATCCATCTTGATTTCCACCTCCTTCCTTCTTGGCTTCAGATTGTAAGATTAAAAAATGAACAGGAAGTTTATGAAACTATCCTGTAACATGTGGCTTGACCTGAAAGAAGAAGTGGGGAGAAGGAGGGAGTTTTGATACTGAGGAAGCTGTGGTTTCAGGGCCACTTGGGAGCTTTTAAAAGCTCAAAAGAGGCATGGCAAAACTTCAGGTCACATGAAGTATGAGGGGAGCACCGTTTCTGGGCTTGTACCTAGGGAAACAGTGAATAGCACTGCATAGAAATATCTCTTCCCACCCCGCCCACTTCCTGCCCCATAAAACCACCATGGAACATCACTGTGGATATGATGCTGGCACCTGAATTGGTAAAGAGCAAGAACTGAACTGGGCAGAATGGAAAACGCCACTGGATTTGTCAGGAGTCCAGGTTCCCAGCTTGATAACACAGTTAGCGTAGGTAATTAAAAAGGAGGATTTATTGCAAAAACAAACCGATAGCTCCGGACGGCTTCAACAAAGCCTTCGGCATCATTACTTAGGATGACCCTTCTGAAGACTCCTCCCGGTGTCAACAGAAGATATTGAACCTATAACCCTTATGTCTTTTGTTTTGCTTCCTATCTAGCAGCCCTCCCATTCGCCAACTCTTCGGACTTAGTGGATCAGCTCCAACCTCTTCCTTTTCTGAGATGCTTCCTGCGAGCTTTGGCTGTGTTCCAGCCTGCACTCAGCTACTGCCTTATCAGCCTGTCCTTCACAGCCAGGAAGAGCTGAAGTCTGCAGCTGCCGTCTCTCCCTGGCTGACTAACATCTAAACCTCTCTGTTCCTGGCTGCTTTCTGCTGTTGGCTGCAAACCTTCTCTTGGAGCTGGCTCATTCCTGACAAGATTTATATATAGTGTTCCCATCACCATTTGGGAGAGATCAACAGATAAAATACAAATGATGAGAGTCAGTGCCACATCAACTCCCAGTGTGATGCAGGAGAGAACTGTGAAAACCAGTTGTATAAGAATTAAACAAATCAAATAAGCTTTGTAGTCAGTTTTGGTGTTCTGGCTGATATAATGGATTGGAAGAGTTGCAGAAGGAGGGGGAAATCCTATTGTTTATCTGACAAGGCTTTAAATGGCAGAGTTGGCCTGCGTTAAGCCTGTGTGGCATTTTATTTATAAAGGAGGGTTTTGGACACACTGTCCTGGCAAGAAGCTGTATGAACCAATTATCTTCTAGCTTTGTTTTGTTTTTGACCTTTCATCTGTAAATGTGGCCTTTTCATTTTCTGTGCTTGCTGTTTAGAGCTACTGGAGGAGTTGAGTGAAGGGGTATAGTGCAGGGGCAAGCTGAAAATTTTCTCAAAGGTTGTCTGCAGCTGCAATCAAAGTAAATAAAGTAGGTTTTTTGGTGGTTTTTTTAACTGGATGAGAAAGTTTGGAATACAAAATGTGGAGAACAAATGACGTTTATCCAGCACAATGAACAGATTTTGAATGAAACAGAACGCACAGCAGTATTGTTCAGACTTTAAAATAATAAAAGGGGTGTGTGTGCGGAATCTCAAATGCAATTCAAATATTGAAAAAAGTAAAGAGGCAGAAGGTTCTTTAAATTTCTGTAG